CTCGTGCTGTTTTTCAGCTCCATCAAGTAGTTTATGTTCTTCTCTGTGCTTGTTATTCTAGTTAGCATTTCATCTAACCTTTTCTCAAGGTTCTTAGCTTTCTTACATTTGATTAGAACATGCTCCTTTAGCTCGGAAAAGTTTGTTATTACCCACCTTCTGAAACCTGCTTCTGTCAATTTGTCAAACTCATTCTTCATCCAGTTTTGTTCCCTTGCTGGTGAGGAGTTGTGAGGAGAAGAGGTGTTTCGGTTTTTGGAGAGTTCAGTCTTTTATGCTGGTTTCTTACCATCTTTGTGGATTTATCTACCTTTGGTCTTTGAAGTTGGTGACCTTTAGATGGGTTCTCTGAGTGGACATCCCCTGACCAAGCTCCACCTGGGACATTTGAGCTGTGCTAGCTGCAAGAATTTCAAGCCAGTAGATCTTAGCTTGCTGGTCTTCATGGGGGTGGCACCTGCTGAGGCAGATCACTTGGGGGTATTCCCCCCTGGCTTCAGCCCCCTTTTTCAGGGGAATAAGCAGTTTTGTCTCGCTGGCCTTTCAGGTGCCACTGGAGTATGAGAAAAAAACAAAACAAAACAAAAAACTGCCGCAGCTAAAACAGCCGCCCAGTTTTGTGAGGGAAACCTGGAGCACTGGTTTTGTAGGCACCAGAGGGAATCTCCTGGTCTGTGGGTTGTGAAGACCCTGGGAAAAACACAATATCTGAGCCAGAGTGTCAGGAAAAGTCCCTAATGGTTTCCCTTGGTTAGAAGAGGGAGTTCTCTGGCCCCTTGTGCTTCCCAGGTGAGACGATGCCCCACCCTGCTTTGACTTGCATTCCTTGGGCTGCACCGACTGTCTAACCAGCCCCAGTGAGATGAACCGTGTACCTCAGTTGGAAATGCAGAGATCACCCACTTTCTGCGTCACTCTCGCTGGGAACTGCGCGTCAGAGCTGTGCCTATCCGGCCATCTTGGTGGAAATCCCCCCCGTTGTCTTGATGATTAACATTTGGCACCTTTTCACTTATGCAAATTTCTGCAGCTGGCTTGAATTTCTCAGAAAATGTGTTTTTTTCCTATTGCATTGTCAGTCTGCACTTTTTTCCAACTTTTATGCTCTGTCTTTTGAAATGGAAAGCTTTTAACAACACTCAGGTCACCTCTTGAATGCTTTGCTGCTTAGAAATTTCTTCTGCCAGATACCCTAAATCATCTCCCTCAACTTCAAAGTTTCACAAATCTCTATGGCAGGAGCAAAATGCCACCAGTGTCTTTGCTATGTTTTACAACAAGAGTCGCTTTTACTCTAGTTCCCGACAAGTTCTCATCTGCATCTGAGACTACCTCAGCCTGGATTTCATTGCCCATGTCATTATCAGCATTTTGGTCAAAGCCATTCAACAAGTTTCTAGGAATTTTCTAACTTTGCCACATCTTCCTGTCTTCTTCTGAGCCCTCCAAACTGTTCTGACCTCTGCTTGTTACCCAGATCCAAAGTTGCTTCCACATTTTTCGGTATCTTTACAGCAGCACCCACTTCCTGGTACCAATGTAGTATATTAGTTTATTTTTATGCTGCTGATAAAGACATACCTGAGATTGGGTAATTTATAAAAGAAAAAAAAAAAAAGAGCTTAATAGATTCACAGTTCCATGCAGCTGGGGAGGCCTCACAATCATGATAGAAGGAGAAAGATGTGTCTCACATGGTGTCAGGCAAGAGAGAATGAGAGCCAAGCAAAAGGGGAAACCTCTTATAAAACCTTCAGATCTCTTGAGACTTATTCACTACTAGAAGTACAGTACGGGGGAAACTGCCCCTATGATTCAATTATCTCCCACCAGTTCTCTCCCATAACACAGGAGTATTATGGAAGCTACAATTGAAGATGAGATGTGGATGGGGGCACAGTGAAACCGTATCACACCTGTATAGGGCATTTACCATGAATGGAGCTTTCAGGGCTATAAGTTGCTTTGGGTGAGTCAGTGAGTGAGTAGTGGGTGAATGTGAAGACTAGGACATTACTGTATACTACTGTGGATTTTATAAACACTGTACACTTAGGATATACTAAATTTATTAAACATATTTGTGTTTCTTCAGTAGTAAATCAATCTTAGCTTACTGTAACTTTTTAACTTTATAAACAACTATTTTTAAAGTATTTGACTCTTTTGTAATAATACTTGGCTTAAACAAACACAGTGTGCAGCTATACAAAAGTATTTTCTTTATATCTTTATAAGCTTTTTTCTATTAAAAACTTTTTTTTAACTTCTTAAACATTTTTGTTAAAAACTTAGACACAAACATCCACATTAACCTAGGACTCCACATCTTGATGACAATCATTGCGATGTCACTGGATGATAGGAACTTTTCAGTTCCATTATATTTTTATGGAACCACTGTTGTACATGTGGTCCCTAGTTGGCCACAATGTTGTTATATGGAGAATTACTATAATTTAAGCCTTTGAAGAATTTAGCTTATGTCTATATATTATTCCCAGTATAATTATTAACCTTGAAATGAATTTGACCCATATTTTGTCCTTTTAAAATTATGAACTATAATACACATAGAAAAGTGCACAAAGCAGAAACATAAAGCTCAGTGATTTATTACAAAGCAGAACGTTTGTATAGGTACCACCTAGGTAAAGAAATAGAGTATTATTAGTAACCCCAAAGCTTCTCTCCATTTCTTTGCCTTTCAGTCACCCTAGAATGTTCAGTATTAGAATTGTTCTAATCATAACTCTCTTGCTTTTCTTACTTCTTACCACCTAAGCACATATCCCTGAATATTGTAGTTTAATTTTTTCTGTTTTTTGAACTTTATATCAAATAAACAATTTATTCAGTCTGTATTCTTTTGTTTATGGGTTTTCTCATTCAACAATTATGTTTTTGAGATTCATTCAAGTAATTGTCAGTTTTAGTTTGTTTTTATATCTGTACAGTAAGTGTATATTACAATTTGTTCTGTATTCTAAATGGCATGGTGTATAGTAGTGTTTCTTTATAGCATACTATAAGGTCTTTTTATGTAGTAAGTGTATACCACTATTTATTTTACTGTTGATGAGATTTTGAGATTTTTCCAATTTTTGGCTACTACAGGTAATAATACTTATGAACATTCTTATGCATAGCTCTTTTTTTTTTTTTTTTTCTGCCCTTAGCTAATTTTAGAACTTAGAGAATAGCTTTTAACCTCTGAGAGCTTCAGTTTTTTTCTTCTGAGAAATGAAGTATTGGGCTAAACTCAAAGATCTCTCATAACTCTAATAGTCTATGAATGTGAGAGTCAGAGCTAGGGGTTTGGAGCTTGACACATTTGGTTTAAAATTTTTTTTTTTTTTTTTTAGCTCTTGGTGCACATGTACAAGCATTTCAGTCATGTATATGTTCAGAATGGCTTGTTGGGTCATAGAATGTAAATATCTTCAGTTTTAGTAGAAATTGCCAAACTCTTTTCCATTAGTGATTATATCAATTTACATTTCCACTAGCATAGTATGATTGTTTACATTCCTCTACTTTCTTGCCAACACTTGGTATTGTCAGTCTTTTTACTTTTACCCATTCTATTGAGTATATAGTGGTATTTCTGTGGGTTTTCAACTTATTTTTTTCTCATGATTAACGAGATTGATAGTCTGCCTCCTGAAGTGCCTGTTAACATCTTAAGCCAGTTTATATATATTCTTGTCTGCTTTTTTCTTATTGATTTGTGGACATTCCTCATGTATTCTGGATATGAGCCCTTTATGGCCATACCACCCTGAATGCACCTGATCTCATCTGATCTTGGAAGCTAAGCAGGGTCGGGCCTGGTTACAAGCCCTTTGTCAGTTAGGCTTGTTGCACATACCTTCTTTCGCTCTGCGGGTTACCTTAAATAGTCTTTGACAGATGGAAATTGTAAATTTTAATGTAATTCAGTTTATTAAAATATGTCTACAATTAGGCTGGGCACAGTGGCTCATGCCTGTACTCCCAGCTACTCAGGAGGCTGAGGCCTCCCAGTATATATAAATATATATAAAGATATATATATAGTTCTACAATTAATGCTCTCTATGTTCTATTTAAGAAGTGCTTCCCTGTCCTAAGGTCATGGAAACTTTCTTATAAGTTAACCTGAATATAGAAACTTTATTGGTTTGCCTTTAACATTTAATTCAGATTTACAGTCTTCATGGAACTAATTTTTTTGTGAATATGTTTGGTTGAATGCAGGCTTTTTTTCCCTGTTGATATCCAGTTGTCTTATCACCTTGTAGTGAAAAGGTCATCCTTTCTTGTGCAGTGCCACCGTAATTATAAATTAAGTGTTCATGAAATGAGTATCTGTTTCTGGGCCTTCTCTTCTTTGGCATTGATCACTTTTTCTGTCACTTACCAGTATTATATTCCTAGTACCAAGTAGAACAAATCTTTCAGTCTTATTTTTCTTCTTAAAGATTAAGCTTTTGGTTATTCTTGGTCTTAGTGTTTTCATATAGATTTTTTTATTTTTATTTTTGCTATTTGATTTCCAGCTTAATTGCATTATAGTAAGAAAACGTACTTTGTATGATTTCAATCTTTTCAAATTTGAGAGTTTCTTGGTGTATCTCAGCATGTGGTCAGTTTTAATACATGTTCTATGTCTTTTTGTAAAGGATATATCTTCCCTCCAAATCTTATAATCTAAAAGATGTTCTATATATACGTAGAAAAATAAGAGGAAACTCAGATCACAAAATACAGAATCGTCTGTGGGGCAAAGAAAAATGCCAGAAATTTACCAAACTCTTCTAAGTGCAGGCTTCATGGTTGACCCCTAGCATAATACTTCACACAGAACTCCATTAATATGTGCTGATGTTTTTAGATATCAAAGGCATGTAATTTAATATTACTTGAGACAAAGTACTTTTTCTTTTGCCCTGGGTATACCAGTTGTTGGCTACTACAAGAAAAGGATGTTTTAAAATTTTAGATACATTCATTTTCAGGATCTGCCAGAGCATCTTTTGGAGATCGAAAGGTAGAACTTTCTGGTTCATCCCAGCATGGACCTAGCTATGATGTGTATAACCCATTCTATATGTATCAGCACATTTCACCTGATTTGAGTCGACGCTTTCCTCCCCGTTCAGAAGTGACAAGACTATATGGATCAGGTATGAAAATTTTTTGTGCTTTTCCTCTTTGTGTTTCTCTTTAAGAAATTTAGAAATCAAATCTAAGATCTGGGAATAAATGATTCTTACTATTAAAGGCAATTTAAAAATAAGAAAAAAAGCAAGCTTCATAAATATGATAAACATTATGACATCTCTGTAGTGTTAATGTCTAATATAAAAATTGAAAGATTAATGAGTTATGTCTGTTGGTAGTTCTAAATTCCATTTAATTTTCCTTTTTTGAAAGAAGTTTTAGTTCAAGAGATTTTTTTGTACAACATGGGGACTGTAGTTAATTATGATATATTCTTGAAAAGTGCTAGAAGAGTGGATATTAGGTGTTCTCAAAACACTCTGTTATTCAAAAGTGATAACTGTGAGATACATTTGTAAATTAGCTAGATTTAATCATTCTGCAGTGTATTTTACTTTAAAACATTATGCTGTTTACGATGAATACATGTAATAAAAGAGAAAGAAGTAAGCTACATACCAGGTACAAGGGAAAATAAAAAAACATAAAATAGAAAGAAGTTTTGTTTTCAGAGTATTTTTTCTTTTTGTTGTTGTTAAGACAGAGTCTCACTTTGTTGCCCAGGTCGGAGTGCAGTGGTGTGATCTCAGCTCACTGCAGCATCAACCTCCCAGGCTCCAGTGACTCTCACATCTCAGCTCCCCCGTCACCAGAAGCTGTGACTACAGGCACGTGCCACCACAGCTAACTAATTTTTAAATATTTTTTATAGAGATGGAGTTTCACCATGTTGCCCAGGTTGGGCTTGAACTCCTGAGCTGAAGCAATCCTCCTACCTTGGCCTCCCAAATTGCTGGGATTACAGGCCTGAGCCACTGCACCAGCCCAGATTATTTTGCATACATTTCACTTGTCATCTGTCTATTCATAAATTCCACAGCATAGATACGTTGTTCTAAATATAATGATTTTTTTCCATTTTTTCTGTATTCAATGAAACTGATGAATTTAGAACTCATGGTATGATTAGAAATATAAACAAACTGCTTAAATGATTATAGAACTTTTTAATTTTCATATTTGAGACTGAATTATACATGTTTGTGATTCACAAAATTCTCAGTTTTTCAGGGTTTTGTGTGTGTGTGTGTGTGTGTGTGTGTGTGTGTGTGTGTGTAAATCAACCACTGAATTTAGGGTGAGGTACTGAAAATAAAGAAGAAATACTTATTTAAGGGCCTGTCTTGCATTCAATCCTGTGCTAGAATATACAATTGGCATACAAAGCTCCTTTCTTCACAGATCTTGCAGTGTAGGAGGAAAACTAAAAATACAAACTAGATATATAGGAGCACATGGGATTCAGTATTGATTTTTTAAAAGTAATACATGCTTATTAACAATAAATAGTTACATTACACTTAGTACAGAGTATTTACTCTTAGATTATATTTATTGGATTAAGGAATGGGGAATGTAAAGGAAAGAGTAAATTTTTCCTGTTTGATATTTGATGTAGATGTCAAAATGTGTTGTTTGATTTATGTTGATTTGTTTCAAACAAAAATAAAATTGAAAAACATTTTTTTAAGTTAAAAAAATTTTTATTAGAATCTAGATTCTGTGTAAATCTACAGAAGAGATAAAGATAAATGTAGATTTACATAATATTCTTGATGTATTGCTGCAGAGATTTAGTTCATGTTAATTAAATAGAATTCTAGTGTTTCTTAAAAATATTTGCTTTTCTCAAATCCCTTTCTAGTTTGTGATTTAAGGACCAACAAACTTCCCGGTTCCCCTGGGCTAAGCAAATCTATGTTTGATCTTACAAGTACATCTCAGCGATTCATCCAGGTAAATTAATCGTATCAATTTAATTATCTATGATAATTTATTTTCAAATTAAAAATTCAGAAATGTATGAATTATATTAGGAATATATTCTGATATCTGTATCTATTCTGATATCTGAAGAATAAATACTTGATATTTCCCATGTACATTATTTTAGGAAACTGTTATTTGATTGCTGAAAGGCAGTAGTTTTTCTTTTTTCAATAAATTTTTAAAAATAAATTTTATATCTCAGTTGGTATGCTCTCAGGGAATCTTAAAACAGTTTTTATTTAAAATGGTATAATTAAAAGTGCTTATTAGTTTAACTTTCCTTATTGAATATAGCCAGCTAGTTGTTAAAAATTATATTTATTTTGAGATGTAGGACTTTACTCACTAATATTAACACTGTGTCTTCCTGGTTTTGAAAAGGAATTGAGAATTATTTTGATGTTTTTAAAATGTTTCTTTTTTAATACAAGTAAACTGATTATTTAAAATTAGAAAATAGAAGGTAGCAAAGTAGAAAGACAAATCCCTGTATCAGAGTAAGTGCAATGTGAAAATACTGTTATATGGACTCATGGACTTGTTTCCATGTGAATATATATACATATGTTTTACAAAATGGAAATATATTCTAGATAATCTTTAATCCTCAGCTGAGTTAACTTTTACAGTTTTTGTTTGTTTGTTTGTTTTAATAGCAATAGTTGTTTAACATGCATCAGACTTGTTTGCAGAGCTTGTTAAAACACAGGATGACAGGCTTCATCCCCAGAGTTTTTAATTCACCAGCTCTGCAGGAGGGCCTGAGTTTGTATTTCTACCAAATTCCAAATGATAAGGATGCTGCAGGTCCAGATGGACTATGCTTTGATAATTGCTGCTCTATAAGTTTTTTGATAGCAGGGTATTTCCAAATAAATTCTCATTTTCATTAATGTTCTCAGGTATGAAACTTAAGCAGTAATATCATTCTCCTCATTACAAAACCAAACCAAAAACAGCAAAGGCTTTCCAGTATATTATCTTATAAGATATTTAAGATATCCCTAACACATGCCAAAAGCTTTTTTTCATCTTTACTACCTGTAAGTTGGAAATTCTGACCTGTAACACTGTCAAAATAGTTAGCATGCAGTTTGTTACTAGGATGGATATTGAGGTATAAGTATCAGAATCCTTAAGGTTTCATATGCACTTTCTGACTAAAGGATAATTTTACTTACAGAGACATGATTCATTGTCCAGTGTACCCAGTAGTTCTTCTTCAAGGAAAAATTCTCAGGGGAGTAACAGAAGCCTGGGTAAGGAATAAAGTATTCTACTTTTATACTCTTAAGATAATTATTTCTACTCAATAGTAACTTGAAAGTGTATGTAAGGTGAAAAACTCTAGATGATGATATCTACTATGTTTATATAATAAACTAAATCTAATAAAACTATGTCAGTAATGTTATCAGCATATGGATACTCATATCACACGGTCCATTTCTCAGTGTTCAGGTACAAGTGTGGCTTTTTAAGAAGTGAAGCAGTTGAATATCTTTTGTTTGTTTAAAAGTGTACTAGTGAAGGAGCCTCCAGAAGAATACAGTGTTAAGGCCATATAAATGTTATTTTGAAAGATTTTTCCTAGTTTTAATTTAAATCCCTCACTGCAATTAAGTTTTTAAACTATGAGAGCTTTTTATAGTATATGTCTTACCTCTAGCGCTTCAATAAAAACATCGAAGTGTGATCTTTGTCTTATTAGATTGTGAACTTTAAAAAATAATTGTAGCATTTAAAAATTGTGCTCTTAATATTGACTTGTATCAAAGCTTAACTGGGTTAGAAGGATGGCATGGCATTTGAAACATCTTTGTCCTTTTATAATTCAGATACAATTACTCTATCAGGAGATGAAAGAGACTTTGGGAGACTGAATGTGAAATTATTTTATAATTCTTCAGTAGAACAGATCTGGATCACAGTTTTACAGGTAAATTAGTATAGTTAATACCAGCTTTTATTATAAAATTGAATATTTAGACATTGTAAACATTTACTGTTGTCCTTTCCTGGGGAATGGGCCAGTGCTATCTTTGAAATTTGGAATTCTATAATATTTTTACAGAAAATAGTATTTAATAAAGCATCTAAGAAATCTGTAGTATGATGGGAGTATGTGTGTTTTTAAGCTCAAGAGGGAAATTGACATGACATCTAGAATATTATATGTCAAAATTAATGTGGATGCAGCATGAAGTCTCAGTAGACAAGTTTATTTTTATAGTTTTTATCTGAAGTCAGTAACTCAAGAAATACATCAAATATTTGTATTGTCGGAGTCCTTTGTAAAATTCAAACTGTATTTTTAATATTTTTAGTGCAGAGATTTAAGTTGGCCCTCTAGTTATGGAGACACTCCTACTGTTTCTATAAAAGGAATACTTACATTGCCCAAACCAGTGCATTTCAAATCTTCAGCCAAGGAGGGTTCCAACGTAAGTGACTGGTTTTGTTTGAATTTCTTTTCTGTTTTTCTTATATTCGTCGCTTTTATCCATGTAAACAAATTAGAAAAAGTGTTTTACCTTAGGGAAACTACAACTATGAATTGTTGCTTTTTCAAGACAACTTTGAGTCTCAAAAATATTGGTATTTCATTGTCTAGTATTAAGATGAATTTAAAAAGAGTATTTTATTCACTTAAGTATGTAGAAGATGAACGATATCTAAGAAACCGATTTATTTTTCTTGGGTGAAAGGAAATGAATCTTGGCTTCTCTTTCCCTCAACACACTTTAGCTTTGAAAAATAATTTCATAGTCACAATGAATTTCTTTTAAATACTTCCAATTAGTATAACACAAGGACTTAGGATCCTGAGTTTGGTTTTGTAGATCCTAGGTTTTACATTAATTTAAATACATGTTCATTTTTGTCATTTGTTACAGGTTAAAAGATTATTGTTTTTCTATGCAAATGAAAAGATATCTTCTCAAAGACATGTCATTTTAAAATAAGATAATTAACATGACTAATAAACATATAAAAAGTTTACTCTCACTATTAATCATAGAAATAAAAATTGAAATTACATATTGCTTTTTGTTTCTTTCTTCCTCTCTTTCTTTTTTTTTTTTTGCAACAGAGTCTTGCTCTGTCGCCCAGGGCTGGAATGCAGTAGTGCAATCTTGGCTCACTGCAATCTCCGCCTCCATGTTTCAAGCAATTCTTCTACCTCAGCCTTCCAAGTAGCTGGGACTACAGGCACGTGCCACCATGCGAGGTTTCACTGTGTTAGCCAGGATGGTCTTGATGTCCTGACCTCGTGATCCACCTACCCCAAAGTGCTGGGATTACAGGCCTGAGCCACTGTGCCTGGCCTCTTTCTCTCTTTCTTTCTTTCCTTTCTTTGTAGAATTAGGAAAAATTTTACAGGTTCTCTAGAACATACAACTTCTTTGAAATTATCTTGATACTACATGTCAAAACCTTAAAATATTTATACTTTTAAACAGTAATTCTACTTTGAAACTGGAAATTATTTCAGTAGAAATAATCTAAAATGCAAACAAAAATATATAAAATATTCTTAGAAGTTTTGTTCAAAGAAAAATTGAAAAAAGTCTAAACATGTCTTACAGAGGAATGGCTGAAAAACCTAATGGTGTACCTATGTATATTAGTTTCCTTGGGCTACCATAACACAGTACTGTACCACAAACTGGGTGACTTACAACAACAGAATTTTCTCTCTTTCAGCTTTGGAGAAAGTCCAAAATTAAAATATCAGCAGTGTTGGTTCCTTTTCTGAGGGAGAATCTGTTCCGTGCCTCTCTTCTAGCTTCTGGAATGGCCAGCCATCCATGACATTCCCTGGCTTGTAGATCACTCTAGTCTCTGCTTCTGTCTTCACATGGCATTATACCTGTGTTCTGGGTATTCACATGGCCGTCTTCTTAGGGATCCACCCTACTTCATTATTACCTCTTTTTAACTTCACTGATCACATCTGCAGTGACCCTGTTTCCAAATGAGTTCACATTCTGAGATACTGTGGCTTAAGATTTCAACATATCTTTTTTAGGGGGGTATAATTTAGTCCATAAATATGTGTTAGAAAACTAGGTAGCTATGAAAACTAATGCTTAGGAAGAGTTTTTAAGGACCTGGAAAAAAATTTTTGGTAAACGAAAAAGGCAATGATCAAAATTGGAGTGTGTATATGTGTATATATGCATGTATGTGTGTTATGTGTGTATATATATGTGTGTGTGTATATATTAGGATCTCACTTTATGAAAATATGTATCATTGAAAGTCTAGATAGAAATAAACCTTAACTCATAACCTTGACACTCATAGATGAATACTTTCTGAATTACACAGTTTTACTTTTTGATTTTCAAACAAAACTAATTTGACTTAGGAAAAAATGTTGTCATATTGAAACATATGGAATCTTTCATTTTACAGTTTTATTATTATACATAAAGTTGTTTGGGAGACTTCTATTTGGCAAAATATGGAAAGTGTGAAATGAAGCATCACACTTGCTTAATTTGTAAGCTCATTAAACATTTTATGTTTATAACTGGTGTTATTCTATGGCTTGAGAACTCTACAAGAAAAAGATAACTTGGTAGTTGTGAGACTCTCAGACAAACGATTCTGGCTGTAAAGGCAGACATAAGCTATTACAACAAGAGCAACAATTTGGGCACAGTATAGGAATACCTTGGAGATACTGTAGGTTCAGTTCCAGACCACCACACTAAAATGAACATTGCAGTAAAGCAGGTCACATGAGTTTTTTTGTTTCCCAATGCATACAGAAGTTACCTTTATACTGTAGTCCATTAAGAATGTGATAGCATTATGTCTTAAAAAAGTAAGCTACATACCTTAATTTAAAATGCTTTATTGCTAATAAAAAATGCTGATGATCATCTGAGTCTTCAGCAAGTTGTAATCTTTTTGCTGGTAGAAAATTTTGCCTTGATGTTGATGGTTGCTGAATGATCAGGGTGGTGGTTGGTGAAGGTTGAGGTGGCTGTGGCAATTTCTTAAAATAAGACAACTCAAAGTTCACCACATCTATTGACTCTTCCTTTCACAAAAAGGTTTCCTGTAGTAGGTGACACTGTTTGATAGAATTCTATCTACAGAACTTCTTTCAAAATTAAAATCCATCCTTTCAAACGCTACTCTTGCTTTATCAACTAAGTTTATGGAATATTCGAAATCCTTTGTTTTCATTTCAACGATATTCATAGCATCTTCACCAGGAGTAGATTCTGTCTCCAGAAACTACTTTCTTTTCTCATGTATAAGAAGCAACTCCTTATCTGTTCATATTATCTTGAGATGGCAGCAATTCAACTGTTTCTTCAGGAACCATTTCTAGTTCTCTTGCTGTTTCTACCACATCTGCAGTTACTTCCTCTGCAGAAATCTTGAATCCCTCAAAGTCAGCCATGAGGGTTAGAATAAGCTTCCAGATTCCTGCTAATATAATTTTTTTGACCTCCTTTCATGCATCATGAATTTTCTTAATGGCATCTAAAATGGTGGATCCTTTCTAGAAGGTTTTCAATTGCTTTTGCCTAGGTCCATCAGAGGAATCACTATCTATGGCAGCTATAGCCCTACAAAATGTATTTTTTAAGTAATAACAGTTGAAAGTTGAAATTACTCCTTGATCCATGGGATACAGAATGGATGTGTTTATAGACATGAAAATAACTTTCATCTTATACATCTCTGTCAGGGCTCTTGGGTAACTAAGTGCATTGTTAATGAGCAATAATGTTTTGAAAGGAATCTTTTTTAGCAGTAGATCTCAATGGTAGACTAAAAATATTTAGTGAACTATTCTGTGAACAGAAACGCTATTATCCAGGCTTTGTTTTTCCATTTGTAGAGCACAGGGAGAGTTAACTTAGCATAATACTTAAGGGCCCTAGGATTTTCAAAATAATAAGTGAGTGTTGGCTTCAACTCAAAGTGACTGATTGCATTAGCCCCTGACAAGAGAGTCAGCCTGTTCGTTGAAGCATTGAAGCCAGGCATTGACTTCTCTGTAACTGTGAAAGTCCTAGATGGCATCTTCTTCCAACAGAAGGCTCTTTTGTCTACATTGAAAACATTGAAAATCTGTTCTTGAGTGTAGCCACCTTCTTAGCTAGATCTTCTGGATAACTTGCTGCAGCTTCTGCATTAGCACTTGCTGCTTCAGCTTGCACGTTTATGTTTTGGAGACTGTTTCTTTCCTTAAACCTCATGAACCAACCTCGCTTTCAGTTTTTCTTCTTCAGCTTCCTCACTTCTCTCAGCCTTCGTAGAATTGAAGAGAGTTAGGACCTTGCTCTGGATCAGGTTTTGGCTTAAGAGAATGTTGTGGCTGATTTGATTTTCTATTCAGACAAATAAAACTTTCTCCACATCAGAAATAAGGCTGTTTCACTTTTTATTTGTATGTTCACTGGAGCAGCACATTTAATTTTCTTCAATAGTTTTTCCTTTGCATTCACAACTTGACTAAGTGGTGCAAAAGGCCTATCTTTTGGTCTATCTCAGCTTTCAACATCTTCCTCACTAAGCTTAGGCATTTGAGGTACATTTCTTCCTTTTAGGTTTATTGGCCTAAATTCAATATTGTTGTTTCTCAGGAAACAGTGAGGCAGTACAGTAAAATAAGGTATGCCTGTATTCAAAATGTTTATGCTAGTTGCCCAGATATCTGGCCTTTTCAAAAGGAAAAAAAGCTCCTTTCTAAATGGATGCATTAAAGATGGAAAGAAGGAAGTGTATGGCAAAGAACAGTCTAGTGTCAAGAACATGTTAGCCCATGGTAAGCCAAGGATTTAAAAATATTAAAAGTAGCAGAGCATTTAAAAATATTCTGAGGCTGGAAAACACAGACTTGCTGATTGAGATGGGTGCTTAGGAGAGAAGGTATAATTTAAACTCATATTTTCCTTCATCTTCTATATCAAGAGTTTGATTTTCAGATTGGAAAGGGTGGAATAAATGTCACCAAAAGAGAAATTGAAGCCTAAGATAGATGGGAAGATTCATTAGACAAAAAAATAACTCCTTTAAAGAAATAATTCAAGTCTCTTTATGTGAACAAGTTAGATATTGTGAACAAGAGAGTGCTTGCATATGAGATTCTTGAATCACTCTCCTGAACTGTTGAAGAATTGTGATGATGCCAGAACCAAAGACGGAGAAACAATCTAATATTCAAAAAGGGAAAAAGCTGTATTCTGGTGAGCATGTGTTGATGTTGACCTGAATTTCTAAAGAATTTAAAGGATGATTTGTGAAATTAAGAAAGGTTGTATCCAGGATAAACTCTAGAAAAATAAGTCATTGCCATTCTTATTTTCATTCACATTAAAAAGATTTTTTTGTTGTTGTAAAAAGAATTAAATATACCTTTCCTAAATATAAAATATTGTTTGGTACTGGCATATCAGCCTTTTATTTATATATTTTATATTTTCTTGTTGTTTTTTTTTAAAGGCTATTGAATTTATGGAAACGTTTGTATTTGCTATTAAACTTCAAAGTCTACAAACTGCAGGGCTTGTATTTAAGATTCAAACCCAGACTCCCAGGAAGAAAACCATTGGAGAATGCTCATTATCACTCAGAACCCTTAGCACACAGGAAATGGATTACTCTTTGGATATAATACCACCTTCAAAAATTTCGGTAAGTGATAATAGTATGTTACATTAAGAGTATTTCATACTTTTAGAATTACTTAGTGGATGGGTTTTTGTTGGTTGGAAGATAACTTGAATAGAACATTAGAGGATCTGGAAGGCTCTCAGATAGCAATAATATTATTATTTTCAAATAATATTTTAGAAATTATTGATAAAAGGTTAACAGAACTATTTTGTTTCTCCATTGGAAAATTACCTCAGGGTTACCTTCTAGCACATTTCTTATTAATGTTTTATACTTGAGGGAAAATAACTCTGAAGTATGAATAACTATTTGTTTTTAGTTTTTCTTAAGTAGCTGATAACTTAGGAAAAACAAGAAAGAATCAAAAGTTCCAAACTCAATCAGAAATTGACCTGAAATAGATTAGAAAAGTTGTTTTAACCAGGAGTAGGCTATACAGCTGCTCATAAATTGATTAGAAGTTTTTACAGCTGATTTTTTTTTTTTTTTTTTTTGGAACAAGCTTTATTACCTAATAGTGCTGATGGGACCTGCTCTTTGCTTCTCTCAGCCAGCTGAACACTGTTAAATTGCTTAGGAATTTCTAATTCAATTGTATACATTGAATGTTAGGCTGACATTTATAAAAGTCAGTCATAAGTTTTTATAAGGTCAAACCTATATGTGATTTTAAATTTATATGGGATTTATATTTCACCTGTTTCCAAAAATATTTAAGGTGACTGGAAGTGCTTCTTAACTCTGGGTACACCTGAGAATCATCTGGGAGCTTTAAAAAAAACTGCCCATAAAAAATGCCTATACATAAACTATCAAAAATTAGAATTTTGGGGGACATGGGGTAGAAGCATTTGTAACTTTCTTTTCTTTCTCTTCTCTTTCTCTTCCTCCTCCTTTTTCCTTCTTTCCTTTTCTCTTTGACTCTCCCCTCCCCTCCCCTCCCCTTTTCTCTTTCCTTTCTTTATCCTTTCTTTCCTTTTTTATTCTTTGAGGAAGAAAGAAAGCTGTGTCACCCAGCATGGAGTGCAGTGTGCAATCACAGCTCATTACCTCCTCTATCTCCCAGCTCAAGCAATCCTCCCACCTCAGCCTCCTGAGTAGCTAGGACTACAGGCACACACCATGCCCAGCTAATTTTTAGGAGAGATGATGGGTCTCGCTAGATTGCCCATGCTGGTCTCAGACTCCTGAGTTCAAACAATCCTCCTGCCTCAGCCTCCCACAGCACTGGGATTACAGGTGTGAGCCACTGTGCCTAGCCTTGCCTATTATTCTTTAGTTCAACCCCCAGTGAGCTGTTCTGTAACTATGACAGGAGTTTGTCACTGGCATTTTTGACACTAGCTTAGTAGATAGTAATCTGCAGCCATAGTTTACAGAAGGCGCAAATTCACTATTCAAATAGATAATTCATATATTAAAATTTTGAAGACACCCGGGCATGGTGGGTCACGCCTGTAATCCCAGCACTTTGGGAGGCCGAGGCGGGGATCACGAGGTCAAGAGATCGAGACCATCCTAGCCAGCATGGTGAAACCCCGTCTCTACTAAAAAATACAAAAATTAGCTGTGTGTGGTGGCACACACCTGTAGTCCCAGCTACTCGAGAGGCTGAGGCAGAATTGCTTGAACCCGGGAGGCAGAGGTTGCAGTGAGCTGAGATTGTACCACAGCACTCCAGCCTGGTGCCTGGCAACAGAGCAAGACTGTCTCAAAAAAAAAAAAAAATTTTTTTTTAAAGTTAGAGTATGTAAGAAGAGAACTCAGGGAAAGTATTTTCTGGGGAAATTGAGGCATTATCTGCATGGGAGAATATGAATGAATAATTATGGCAAAATTTCTACTAAATCATATTTCATGTCTCAGAGATCTTATAAATATTTGCATATTTTCTGAATGCCAGGTGCTAGGGTTGTAGAGTGATGCCCTGAAAGAAGAGTGTTTGGGCTATACTAGACCAGTGAGTTTATGTTAGCAAGTATGAATGTTTTATATTATTGGTTAAAGCCAGAGTAGTATGCTTTGTTATAAAGTGTTGAAGGGAAAAATAAATATTCTAATTGCGTTGTTCAAAGAGCTGGACTTACCCATCCACACCGACCACTGTTTCATCACGAACAGTATAACTTTTGGGTAGACCTAATATTTTACTCAATAAAGAGTTCTTGACCTTGACAAATAGTAATGTAAATAGTTACTTCAGATCTCAAATTTCTGTGTTGAATAATGTGGAAGAAATACGTTTTCCTGAAGAAGTAGCTGGTATTTATAGAGATTTATCTTATGGCTGCCTCAATGCTAAGTGATCTAAGGGTCACAGCAAAATTATGACCCTGTTGCTCTTTATCCCTATTGTGGAGGTCAGGGGAACACTTGCCTGAGGTCACACAGCCAGTAGTTGGAGAGTCAGGATTTGAATGGAGGCAGTCTGATTCCAAAGCCAGCTCTCTTAACTCTACCATGTATTGTCCCCCCAAGAAGATATTATCAAACATCACTAGATCATGATGTTCTAATGGTGCTCAACATTGCATTTCAACCCTTCCAGGAAGGCTAATAATATTTTCTCTTCTGAATAAAAGGATACATTATTCAGGAGCATTAACATGCCTGCTAATTGATTGGAATTTTAATTTTTTGGTTATTATGAGATTTAAATAATTTAAATTTTTAAATAGTTTTTCTTGATCTGAATCATTGTCCTGGAACATGAACTGAGTTTGCGAAATAACCTTGGCAAGTGGGAGATGGTAAGCCTGTTGCCAAATGGTGCTCTATTTTATGAGAGTGAACTCTAGAATTGTGTAACAGTAAGAGAAGTTTTGCCGCCTTTACATGTTTTCATAAGTGTTATTACATTGTGGGTATAAAACCATAATGAAAAAAATAACAAAAAATTTAACCATGGTTTTCCTTGTGTTTTATAAAGAGTGTGATTCTGTCTTTTAAAATGTGTTTTTTTAAATGCCAAGGACAGCAATTTTTTTTAATCTGCAAAGTGTTTTTTTATGGCTACCAAATTAGTTCATGTGAAAAGTTGTTAGTTCTGTCTCATTTTGATTACAATCAAAAGCAGTAAATTCACTTATTTATTAGAAATCAGTATTTGTTGCCAAATAACAAGTTTTATCATCAATTTAGACCTTTCCAGGAGAAATTATATTCTAACAGTTGTTTATACTTCTTAAGCAATTCACTTTTCATTTTCTATGTTTTCATTTCTTATGGCATAACTAATTTAAAATACAGAATCATATTTTAAGAAAACACCAAACTTCAGTCAGTGTCATATATATGGAAAGGTTGAGCCATGAGCCAGCTATTGGGGAATACTGAGCAATATAAAACATAAATGTCTTCATCAAGTGTCATTCAGTTGTTCTATAACTTCACTGGAATCAGTACTGGCAGACTTTTGTGTCTGTCTATGCTGAGTCCTAGTGTGATCTGTAAACATTGCATTCCTGCTTTATTCCTATTCTTACTCTTTTCAGCATGGAAACAATAGCGTTTTTGTGTCTGGGCAACCTTGTGTTTCTCCCTTTTATTGTTCAGTCCAAGGACCTTGGAATCCACCTGAGTAGTCTGGCTTCCGTTGTATTTTACGGACAAATGACCACCTTTCTTCTGCTGTTGGTCAGCAGTACTGAAGAACACATTTTAATTTTTCCTCTTCTCTAAGTCTCCTTCATTTTACTGTTTGCCTCAGGTTTTCTTTGACCTTTTCCTTATTATTTACTGCCTCATCCCTTTGACTGGCTTCTTTCTTGCCAACTTTCTTTAGCTTGCTTCCATTCAGCATAGTAATTCAACCCTTAATCCACAGAGCTATTTATCGCTATAACCATCTGTCTTCTGATTTTGGTAGCACCTACTCTGATCTCCGTAATTAGAAAAAAAAAATGATGATTTTCATAGATAACTTTTTAATCATATTTCATGTGTTCTTTAAAAATAATTTGACTACATTTAGTTCTTTTGAAAGTGTGTTCCTTTTGTGTAAATTTCACCAGCATTTTCTCCAGTGATACTGCTTATGAATTTAATTTGTTTTTAATTTGAATTGGCTTTGGGCATCACTGATTTTGAAGTTTTAGTACATAGATATAACCTGTATTTTTAGAATCTGTGCAAATGAGTACTCTAAAGAATTCATGATATTTATCTTCTTAACCTTCTCTTATAACTTATAGTTTTGAATATCATTAGAAAGGAATGCTTTCAAAATGTCTAACCTTAGCCCTTCATCTTTGAATTTTTGAATCATCCCAAAAACATTATTCTCAGCTACCAAATGACACTTTTTTGATATGCAGGTTTGCCATGCAGAACTTGAATTGGGGACTTGTTTTCAAGCAGTAAATAGCAGAATTCAGTTACAAATTCTTGAGGCACATTACCTTCCAAGCTCATCAACACCTCTGACTTTGAGTAAGTATATGAATTGTTCAAAGGAGAATCTTCAGAAAGTATTGATAATAGAAAGTATTTACATTTCTTACAATGGTGATTAAAATCTTAGTAACTTTTATTATTTAACTTAGTTACTTTTAATTTAAAATTAAAAGATTTCAAATTTTAACCATTGTGTCTACCTTAACACAGTAGTCTCTTGAGTGTTATCCGGTTATGACCTCTCTGCCTTTGATACTGTTTTTTGTTTATCTCATCAGTTTATACAGGTTGAATGTCTAGAGGATTCTCAGTTATATTTTTCCACCTGAAATAATGTATCCTCTTTCTAGGGCTGTGCCCTTTGTGGAAGGCCCTGCTAACTGGAAACTTAATTGTAAAAAATACATACATATATGTAAACCAAAAATATTAAAAACAAACCTAGAAACACTTTTCCCTCCCTGTGTTTTGTGTACAACGAGGGGTTGTCATACTTTGATTGTCTAGTCCTGGAGTGAGGTAGGAGTGCCCCTTTTTCTTACTAAAGGAAGAAAACCATCTGGGGACAGGCAAAAGCAATGCATGTTCACTGTAACTAGAAAGACTAAAAATAAATGAAACTGAGCATTCAATTCAAGAAGCTAGAAAAACAACAAACTCAAAGAAATTAGAAGTAAGATATTAAAGCTGAAGTTGAAGATGACAAATATGGAGACAAACACAGGCATAATTAATAAAACAAAAAGCCGTTTCTTTGAATCATTAAAAGAGACAAATCTATAGTAGGTTCAAGTGAAAAAACAGAGAAAACATGAATGAGATTCTGAACAATGAAGAGGATATAATTTCAAATTCAGAAGAGATTGTATCATATATAAGGCGATACCATTTGTAGCTGTACCAATTTATTTGGATATCTATGTAAAGTGAATGACTTCCTGAGAAATTTGGTGGTTGAAAGTAGAATCTTAAGAAAAGGAAGAAAATCCGAATAAAAGAATAACCATGAAAAGGTAGTTAAAAGACCGCCTCTAATAAAAGCGCTAGGCCAAGGTAATTGTACTGGAAGATTCTACCAAACTTTCAAGGAACATAAAATTTCTATTGTATATAAGCTGTTCTGAAGCATAAAAAGAAGGTGGGAAAAGTAATTCTGTGAGGTCAGCATATTCTTTCACCTACGAAGATAGATGGAAGATCCTAAAATAAAAATAAGCAAATAAAATCTAACGGAATAAATCATGAGGACTATACACAGTGAATTCTAGGAAGCAAGGACAGCAGATGCCGTTGACGGTGGGCTTCCCTTAGACAGAACCACAGCTCTTCACTCTATCTATCTGATGTTCAGGTCTCAGCCCTCACTTTGTGGCTCCCTCCCTTCTGGGAGTTCTCTATTCACTTTCTTGCTTTTCTGGCAGCCCCAGCTCTCTCACCTCCAATTAGTCAGACTGTACTTTCTGCTTGAGCTGTAGTTATTGTGCATCAGTCAGGTAGGGAAGTATGCTTAGATGAAAAGCTATATCAACCTGAATTTTACCCAGTGAAGTTCCCATCTTTTACACGTTGATCTTCCTCCAATTTCTTTCTGCTTTTAGTGTTTTTAAATTTTTTTCGAAGTTTGTAATTGTTATTTATGGGAAGGCTCATTCATACAAGCTATTCTACCATTGCCGGAAGTTCTACATCTCAAATTTATTTAAAGTATAGATTTTATCTAGTGGGCGTATACTTCTGGAGTCTCAAGCAAAGCATTTTACCTATGTAAAATTGTGAAATAAGTACCTCCAGCTGTCCAAAGAGTTGGCACCTCTCTTTAGTGTGATCCTTTCAATGTGCACTCTTTTACTCTGGTTGATGTTTATGCCTCCATTTCCAGTCTTCCGTGGCATTCAGCCACGAGAAGATTAAGTTCATTTAAAGTTACAGTAGTAAAGTATGCCAAAGTTATAAAGTTAACTAGAGCTCTTTTCTGTTATGGCAGTAGCTCATCAAACATTTAAAAGTGACTTACTTATATTTTTACAATTAATATTATATATATAAATTCCAACTTGGATGTATATGTACACACCTTTATATGGTATTTTGAATAACATTTTATAAACCAGTATTTCTTATGTTTTAGGTTTTTTTGTGAAGGTGGGAATGTTTAGCTCAGGAGAGTTAATTTATAAGAAAAAGACACGCTTACTGAAGGCCTCCAATGGAAGAGTCAAGTGGGGAGAGACTATGATTTTTCCACTTATACAGGGTGAAAAAGAAATTGTTTTTCTCATTAAGCTTTACAGTCGAAGCTCTGTAAGAAGAAAACACTTTGTGGGCCAGGTTAGTAGGGAGTTTTTATCCTTCCTTGTATTTTTCTATGCATTTAAACAGGCAGTTAACAAAGAGAATACAGGACAATATTGAAGTCTAATAGAGTACAGTTCTTCAACATCATAAATCAAAATTCAGTGTTGCTACAAAAATCAAATCTTGTCAGACTTCTTGCTTTAATAAAAATAGTTGGTATTTCTGAGCAATCAGATTTATCTTTAAATAAGTCTTATTCTTTCTGACTTTAAAAACTAAGAGAATTTATCAGTCTTTCAGTACTACTGACTTGTGGAAGGAGGGAACATTAAGTATTTAAATCAAATCTCTTAAGGCTTTGAGTATCAAATTATTCTGTTTAATCTTTGATTTAATGTTTAACAGGGGACTTTTTATATGCTCTTACTTGAGTTATGTTAGTTTTGAATTGCTAGAACCTGTCGATTTTAACAGTGGTTGTGATATTACCTAGATAGTTAATACTATTGTCTGAATTATTTTTAAAATCTTGGTACAATTTGTGTAAAACAGCATAACATTTGCTAACTTGCCAGTCCTCTAGGAACTTGTTTCCTCACTCTGAATAGACTAGTGGTAGCTGTCCATTATCTTTTACCTTGATTACAGTTGTTTGAACCACATTTAAATTCCAAAATCGTTATTATTGGTTTAAAAGCTTCAACTTGACAAGATATTATTAACAGTCTAAGTGAAATCCTCAAATTATATATGAATTTTCAAAGATTGATATCAGCCCCTTGATTTACTTCTTAATATATATTTTTACCTAAAATGATAATAAAAATGTTGTTTTATTTATCATCTATTATTTGGAAAAGAGCTTGAATTCAAGAATACATATAACCAGCATACTTTTGAAAGTCATTAAGACTATGAAGTCAATTCAGTTAAAGTTTTTCTATGTCATCAAGCCTCAACTTAATGGTATGGATGGAATAGGATGGTATGAATGGAATAGGAAATTTACATGAGATGATTTTCATGATAACTTTTGTGGTGATTTCTTTCTCTTGATTGAGATTCCAGTTAGAAGAATAATTCTGGAAAGGTTCTTGCTGGTCTTCTGCTCCCTCTGGCTTATCTGGTAGCCTTAGAAGGAACCATAATGGAGTAGCCAAAGGTGAACTCAAGTTCTCCACCCCCGTATCAGTGAAAGTGCTCTAATGTTGTCTGTTTTATATACTGGGGTTATTTGTAAGAGTTCATTTGAAAGGAAGGTTCTTTAGACCAAGAAAGAAAAGGAAAAAGGTTTAAACCAATGACCTGCTTCAATCTCTTAGAAACTGAATCTCAGAAGTTAACTCCAAGGTAAAAGAATTCGTTAGTGCTAGAGGTAAAGTGAGAATTCAAGTTTTTTATTCCTTGTCTTCATAATAATATAAAGATTGTGATGTCTTACATTGCATATTTGATGTCTTACATTTACATAATACTATGTATACATTCACATGTAGTATTAAAGTTATGTAAGGATGGGTACTATGAAATTACTATCGATCAAGAATGACTGTTTATTAGATTTTAATTGAGATCACAGTTTATTTCATGTAAAGGGTGCTTTAAAATGCACATTCCTTACCAATCCAATTTAAATCATGATTAGTCTCAGTTTAATTGATCTTTACAAAAATGTTTTTGAGTGGTTGGGATCAGTTTTAAGTTGAGCTCCAAGATTTATTGAATAGGAAAGGACACTAATAACTGTTCTGGGGAAAATGATTTTGTAATATTTCACCGTGAATTTTTGAATTAAATTGAACCTTATAAGTTAGTCTTGAGAATGACTAAACAGGTTAAATGTTTTAGCATTTAAATGACAAATAGAGAAATCAAACTGACTTTTGGAAAAAAGGAAGATGTTTAATTCAAAATACATAAACCAAACTTCCAAATTTCTTCCATCATTAAGAGTAACTGTCTGAACTCAGTTATTATTATTGTGTCAAGTTAAATGATTGTACTTACTGTTCCTTTACAGGTTTGGATAAGTGAAGACAGTAATAACATTGAAGCAGTGAACCAGTGGAAAGAGACAGTAATAAATCCAGAAAAGGTTGTTGTCAAGTGGCACAGATTAAATCCATCTTGAAGACTTCACATATTAATTTGGTGAAGAACTTGACATTCTTTTAGAAGACTTATGATTTCAATTTGCTACCAATCAGAAGAGACAAATCAATACATTTGTCAATTTATGGGGGCTATAATTATAGTATATAATGTATCTGATAGAAAATTTGATAGGAAAATGTAATGAATTTTTAAATCAGATATCCGAAGTAGGGAAATGTTTTAAAACTGCAACAAGAGACACAGACAGTAAAATCAAAGGACAGTATTATTAGGACGACTAAATAAATTATAAGGTCTGAGAATATCAACCACAGTTCTTTCTATATTATGTTTTTGCTTTTGTATTTTAAGCTTTACTTAGATATTGAAAACCTGGTCTATCAAGTCTCCGTTATTACTATTGACATTTAGAAGACTTTACCATCATTTCAGTGCTAGGCATTATTAATTAGGCCTTGGCTCCACTGTTTACCTCTTGCTATATATTTTTGCTTGGTAAAAGTGAATTGAACCATTTCAACTATTTCCTGTATTTGGGGAAAGTTTGTACCCTGTGTTTTATAATTTTTTACCCATATAATATCACATTATCACTTTGTAAGCTACTTATCTCCAAGAAACTTCAGAAATAGAAAACTACATTTTGGCAGAAATAAATGAAAACACCAGAAGGTTGAAGTTTAATTGGAAACCCAGAATATGCATACTTTGCTGTTTTCTTCCCTCAAATATTTTACTATTTGTTCCATTTAGAGTTAAAATAATAGTATCATCCACGTGGTCCATCCTAATTCGCAGAATTAAATGAGCTTAAATAGCAAATTCAGTCTTTTATGATAATCACATCTTTGTTTTTAGTTTCCCATGTTTTTTCATAACTGTACCTGATTATACTGTGTAACAAATATTTTCTATTACAGTTTTCTTTCTAGTACTTATTAGAACTCAATATTTGGAAATAATTTCACCTTTATTGATCATAGAGCTGTGGCCAAAAAGAACAGCTTTTTGGAGCGACTAATGACATTACAATTGATTTTAGAAAATCTCACTTTATTTATTATGCTTTCAATTTGCTACCAATGAGAAGAGACAAATCAATACATTTGTCAATTTATGGGGGCTGTAATTACAGTATATAATGTATCTGATAGAAAATTTGATAAGAAAATGTAATAGATTTTACTAATTTTGCTACAAGTAGAGTAAGTGCTTTGTGTTCTCAGTCTTCCTTTTTCCCCCCATTCTTTCTGTTTTTTGTTTTTTGTTTTTTCCCCCCATTCTTTCTTTATCCCACACATGCAGAGATAGATGGTGATATTTTAGGCCAGGAGTATACCTTGCTATAACCTAAGCATGTCTTCTTTATTCCAGCCCCTATAGTCCATGTATATCATTAACATTTTCCCTAATAAACACCTAATTCTCTTTTCCCTAGGTGGTGTCTCCTCAAGCTACAAAATGTCCATATTTTATATCCCCTTTGCTTCTACTGCCTTGGCTTTATGGTACCACTACTCTCTGCCACTGAACATTTTGAAATGTTTTTGTTTTAGATTTGTAGAAAATGGCATATAGGTCAATGCTCACATGGACTTTTAAGATTAATCACCTTGTGTGATAATATTTTGAATCTGAGACAAATAACTTTTAAAATTTGTTTTTAAAAATAGACTTTTTTAAAAGAGCAGTTTTAGGTTAACAGAAAAATTGAGAGGAAGATAGAAATTTCCTTTCTTCCCCCACAAAGCCCTCAACAGCCTCCCACACTATCAGTATCCTGCACCACAATGGTACATTGGTGAATCGATGAACCAAAGTTCATGGTTTACATTAGGGTTCCCTCTTGGTGTTATACATTCTATAGGTTTTGACAAGTGTATGATGATATGTGTCCATCATTATAATATAGTTTCACTGCCCCAAATATCCTCTGCAAATACAACTATTTTAATGGGTACCAAAGAAGTAAATCTGTTTACTGGCTTTTAGATAATAAATAACAGGCTTTATTGTTTGTTTTTAAAGCAACAGTTTTATTTTAGCACATTTCTGTATTCTATTAATGCTTTCAATTTCCAAATTTAATATATGTAGCTATGTATTTAACTCAATTTTTAATCATTTTATCTAATTTTCTATATTCTTACAATATGTGTATGATGTATAATTTGCAGGAAAGCTATGATTTCTCAGTTTCTTAGAATCCTAGGTAATAAAACAATAAAAAGAAAACCTTTTCATTTAAAAGACCTTTCAGGTAGAGAAGTATCGATACAACTAAGATCATAGATAGATAGATAGATAGATAGATTTTTTTTTTTTTTTTGATACTAAATCTTGCTTTGTCACCAGGCTGGAGTGCAGTGGCGCAATCTCGGCTCACAGCAACCTCCACCTCCCAGGTTCAAGTGATTCTCGTGCCTCAACCTCCTGAGTAGCTGGGACTACAGGTGCATGCCACCATGCTGGCTAATTTTTTGTATTTTAGTAGAGACAGAGGTTTCACCATCTTGGCCATAATGGTCTCTATCTACTGATCTCATGATCTGCCTGCCTCGGGCTCCCAAAGTGCTGGGATTGCAGGTGTCAGCCACCATGCCTGGCCATAATCCTAAATGTTTTAATTGTGTTTACTTAAGCCTTTTTCAGGTGAGGAGATACTGAATACAGCTAATACATTGGTTGTTTCCTTGAAGCTTTATGTGGAGCTATAAATAGAAATACAGTCTTCTGCTAATAGGTGCTCATATTGTGAGAAAAACATTAGGAGCTGGTAATAAAAAATGAGATTCTATGCCAAAATCACTTCTCTTTGTATTTGCCTAGGCATTTCTTGACCTTTACCCACTTACAGCACGGAAAAGGAAATCATAATGATGCTGCGTGACCAAAGGAAACCATGGAAGGGTTCACACTGATGGCTGACACACAGTGTTCATTCCTAACAGTGTATTTACTTGTAAGCTTTCAGATCAACACAAATAGCTGCAGTCCGGGTTAGAATATAACATTACTATTTGGCTTTCATTTAGTTTTTTAAAAACAGAACTCCTAGAGAAATGGCCTCAGAAGTATATCAGTTTCATCTCTCACCAGACCGTTAAGAAGAAACCAGTGGGATTTTGAACAAGTCATATAATTGTGGTCTGAAAAGAAGCTAAACTGAAGATCTATTTGAATATAGTTACATGAATTTCTCTGATACTAATGTACCCAATAGCTAGGTAGAAACTATATTTCCTAGTAAAATTTTCTGGTTTTGTTTATCAAATATTTGCTTATGAAGAATTTCAGAAGTTTGCAATAAATGTCGGCTTTTGAGTAACTGATATTTCCTTTCTGCATTTGGTTGGGTGTAATGAGGAAAGTACCTGACAGATTGTCTGAGGGCACTTTCTAATGTTGTCTTGGTCCATAAGTTACAATTTTTATTCAAAGTTTCAAATGTTTGCAGTTTTGGCTAAAACATTGAGTTGAAAGAATTATGAAAAGTGGGCCCATGTGACATACCATGTTTATTTTGAAATACAGATTTTAGATTTACAAAGATATTAAAAGAGTTAATGGAGCCTCCTAAATTGAATTTTATTTTGTAGGTAAAGAATTATAGGAAGATGAATGTGGCCTACAGTTTTAGTGAACTCCTAGTGGATTTTTTTTTCTTTTTTCTTTTTAAATTTTTAATCTATAAAAAAAATGATCTCTAAAAACAATTACAATAATAATTATATTAAACTGTAGGACTCTGATAATGGTAGATGTCTAAAAAGTAAGTTCTGTATGTCTTCTCAAAGAATAGAAACCTATCTGATTCTGTGCCAAAGTAAATCACTGAATGAGAATATGACTTTTAAGTTGTGGTGATGTTTATTCAGTATTGATTTTCATATTCTATGCTGTGGGATTTGTTTCTTGGTCACCATTCTTTTTTTTTTTTTGGAGAAGGAGTCTCGCTGTGTCACCCAGGCTGGAGTGCAGTGGCATGATCTTGGCTCACTACAGCCTCTGCCTCCCAAGTTCAAGTGATTCCCATGCCTCAGCCTCCTGAGTAGCTGGGATTATAGGCACCCCCTACCATGCCCAGCTAATTTTTTTGTTTTTCTTTTTTTTAATTTTTTAGTAGAGACAGGACTTCGCTGTGTTTGCCAGGCTGGTCTTGAACTCCTGACCTCAGATGATCCACCTCCCAAAGAGTTGGGATTATAGGCGTGAACCGCTGCACCAGCCTGGGTCACCATTCTTTAGTTTCTTGAGGCAGTAGGATGATGAAAATTTCTGTCGTTCATGGTAGGATTATATTTATTTTAGCAGAAATAAATTTGGTTGTGGTTTAAAATTGTCTTTTAATTTCTGAGTCTTTCATCTTTCTTGATTATATAATGTATGAAATTGATTTTGAAACAACTATATTTTTAAATGAGCCATTTTATATGATATATTTAATAACTAAATGCAAAAAAAAATTAGTACTTCACACAAAGAACTGTGCTGTGTGATTTCAGGGATACAAGAATGAATAAGCCATCATTGTTTACACAGATTTTATACTTAGGTAGGTAAATGAAACAATATAAAGAAAGATTCTAGTGGAAAGCAGGATTTGAGGTATGAACAAAATGCCTTAGGGCCTCAAATAAAGAATTTAATGCAACTGAAGGAAGTAGGAAAGGTTTGGTAGGTCCCTGACCTGAAATGCACAAAACCAAGCACTGCTGCACTGACTCTGCCTCCCTAGCCGTCCTACTTCATTTGTGTTGTCAGCTGACCGACCGTGAAAAACAGTTTATACTTTCTTTTACTCTCTTCTGACCTTTAACCCACCTACTGCTTTCTTTGCTGTTAGTAGATCTTATGTCATGATTTGCAAAGGAAATAATGTCAGGTTTTCCTCAAACTTCCTACTACCATATCCACAAACTTCTTTTGACCCAAATCCATCCTTTCCCTATTATGTTAGAAAGCCAGTTCTTCCTTGTGACTTGTGAATCCAGTCCTCTTTGCTTTCTCTGGGATTTCATTCCATTTGTTAGGCCCATTTTCTCCTATTTTTGAGCCATTCCCACTCTACTGAATTCTTAGTTTCATCTTTCAAATCTCTGGTGTGTGGCTGTGTCAGAATTGGTTGGTGATGTGTTTGGTGGAAAGAACCCTACAGATACAATTTTGGGGATTAGGTCTTTGTATTGATGAAGGAACCTATGTAAACTGCAATGGACTGAATGTTTTATGCCCTCCCCCAAATTCATATGTTGAAATGCTAACCCCCAAGGTGATAGTATTAGGAGATGAGACATTTGGGAAATGATTAGGTCATTAAGGCATTAGTAATTAGGGCATTAAGGGATTAGTGCCCTTATAAAAAAAGACCCCAATGAAATCCCTTGCCCCTTCTACCAGCTAAGGTTACAATGAACAGATGACTTTCTATGACGAAGCAAGCCTTTACCCAAAACCAAATCTGGCATCTTGATACTAGACTTCCCAACCTCCATGACTGTGAGGAATAACTATTCATTGTAAGTTACCCAGTTTATGGTATTTTGTTGTATCAGTTTGAATGGACTAAGAACATTACATAAAGCAGGAACCAATGCAGCATGCTCCCCATAAAGGTGTCTTCCCAGATCCCAAAAGTTTTCCTGAAGTCAGACTGCTATGGATGAGTATGCATAGCCAGTGAAGATTCTCCTGGGCACCAGAAGCTGTTTTTCATTCTCACAGGAGTTTTTATTCTTTCCTCACTTTCCTTCTTCCATCTGACTATTCCCAAGCATAGCCTTCATGTCTGCTTGCACAACAAGTGTAGTAACTGGTAGTCTACAATCCCAACAAATTCTTAATTATTAAAATTTAAGTGTAACTAAATGAATAGCAAGGTTGGTTTCTCAGCATAGCATCTTTTAGGTCACCTCTCTCTGTGGTTTCTTTCTTAAAAAAAAAAAAAAAAAAAAAAAAAAAAGGTCTAGGATGACCTCTTCTGTTGTAGATCCTGTCTTATTTGTTTGCCTCTTTGTAGATAATTTCTAACTGCTCTGTCCTTAATCTGTTCTCTTCAGTCTTCCTTCGTCACCACTCCACCAAAGTTCATGTTAAAGTCTTAATAAATGCTTTTCAGCTATTTTTCCCCATTATTACTCATAAACTTTAAATAGCTCTTTCTCTTGCTCTCTCTCTCTTTGAAACCATCTCTTCCTCTAGCTTTCATGTCATTATGCTCTGCTTATTATTTTAATCACCTTCCTAGTCGGTTCTTTTCTTTCTTCTCTGTTTGGCTCGTCTTCATGCACCTGACTTTAAAAAGTAGAAGTTCTTTAGGACTCAGTCCTAGGCCATCTTTTCTTCTCATTCCATACTGTTTTCCTGGGCAACCTCATCTGTTTCCATGGCTTGAAATACTATCTACTGTCTAAAGGCTGTCAAATTTACATCTCTACCCAAATCTTGCTAATGTGGGCATCTTTTCTTGAGTGTGTTCTAAATCAAACTTATAGCTAATGTGGACATCTTTCCTTGAACGTGTTCTAAGTCAAGCTTTTGATTTCCCGTTCCTACCACAAATGTGGTCTTCACTTTTCCCCATCTGAGTAAAAGGCACTATCATCCACCTAGTTGGTCATCTCAAGTAGGGATGGTGGCTTTCCTATTCACTGAGTTAATTACACTGAAATTCTAGTAATTATTCAGGAATTTGTTGGAATCAGTATTCTACCAGTTACACATGTAAATGAAAAAACTATTTCTTTTCTGTTGGATGAGCTGGGTGGGGAGGAAATTAAGAAAAGCTGTTTCTCTATTCTTACAATGCTTCTGACACCAAATGTGTCGGCTTTTCCCACCAGGCAATTCTTTAATTCCCTGTGGACACCAACTGGGAGTCATATAATTTAATGTAATTCTGACACTAACTACCTAGAGTTAGCACAAACCCCACAAGTTAAGGGCTCAGTTCCACAAGACTGCCCCCCCCTTCCTATGCCAACCATAAGTGGCGGGTTCCCAGGTGACCCACAACTTTGATCTGACTTG